ATCATATGGAAATATAATGCTTTCATGGCAGTTTTTATGATTGCAGCTGTGCTTTTCGATAACTACTGTGTTGCTCTTCCTCTGGACAGACAGGTCAAACTGTTGACTTCCATATAACAGCATCAAAAAATATATGAGTAGAAGGATGCTTATATAATGGGGATTTTCTGTGCCATTTCTCCAAGGACTCCAAAATATAATGTCCTCCATTTTTCTTGAGCTCTCACAATTCACAGGAGAGGTTATTTTAGTGGGCATGGTAGGCAGCAGTAGAAATGAGTTAGGAAAGCCTCACCTTCAGAAACTTACAGAATACATTTCTTAATCTAGTAATTGAACCTCCTTGAGATGATTGAGGAAATACATGGTTGCCATTTCTTCCAGAGCCCTTTGTTGATGATATCCCCCTCATCTTCCCTAAAAAGGGGAATGTTGGAGACTGGATGATAGTAATTTAATATGGCCAGTCCAGGGCTGGCATCTTAAAAAAGGGTTGCACCAGTGCCTTCTTCTCCTTTGTACTCATACCAGCCCAGAAGGGATAGGGGTCCAGTCTGGAGGTGGCAGAAGCAGCAGCAGACAGGGTGAGAATTCAGAGCTTTACAGGAAACTACAACACTGAAACAGGTAGTTGGTGCCAGAAGCTTTCTGAAGACTTTCGAAAGCTTCATGAGAGCAGCACATGTGATTTGGAGAATGGTGGGTGCAGCCTTCTCGCGAGGTTTCAGAAGACCTCAGAAGCCTTCCAAAGCATCGCAAGAATGGCATGCACTATTTGGAGAATGGTGTGTGTAGTCTCGGGAATAAGGCCTGGAACAGGGTCAGGTTGGACGTGCCTCATCAGCAGCGGGAGGAAGACAGCTGGGCATGGCAGGGCCTGTACAGCACAGGGCAGCGGGGGCGGCTGGGGCTTTGCACTGTGGCACTGGGGTGGCTGGCTGCGGCATGAGGCTTGTGGTGACAATCCTCAGTGGCAATGCTGGGGCTCAAGGTGAGGCCTGGGGTCGGTGGCAGCTGGCTGAGATTGCTGAAGGCCTCAGGCTTCTACTTCATCCCCAGCGCCACCACCGAGGGGTGCCACTATGCAGGGTGGCCAAAAGGCAGAGAGTTGGGGCTGGAGACAGGCAGGTATGGGAAATTGAAGTGCCCCTACTGTCGTAAGTGTTGGTGGGAAGCCAAGTGCCCAAATTTTGATCACGTGATGGCAGGGGCACTGCAACAGCTGTAACTTCAGGGACTGGGCATAAGTACCATTCATTCGGCAGCGCCATAACTTCGAACGGTTGCTGAATGAATGGTCGTTAAGCGAGGACTACCTCTATACTAAGGTGCAGAGTATTGAAAACAAATTGGGAGAACTGGAGATCTTAATTCAGGAAGACAAATATGTTATAGAAGCTGACACTTGAGGATTACTCATGATTGGCACATTGCACTGGAGCCCTACAACTTACTCAAAATGGTAGACCCAACAGAAGAGGTGAAAGTATTGCACTATATGTAAAGCAAAAGTATACTTGTATAGAAATTCCGGAATCAGAGAATGGAAATTCTGTTAAAGTTGATAAGGAGAAAGAAACAGAAGTGATGACATTGTGGGAGTTTATTATAGACCACCAAGGCACACAAAGAATTTGGATTAGGCATTTCTATGTCAGATAACCAGTCTTTCAAATAGGTATGCAATAGTGATAATGGCAGATTTCTATCCTGACATCTGGGAATTTAACTCTACCTAGAATTAGATTTCGAACAAATTCTTGTTCCTTCTTGCTGACAACTTCATTTGTCAGAAGATGGAAGAAAAAATAAAGGGGTCTGATATCCAAGACCTAATCCTCACAAACAGGGAGAAATTGGTTGAAAAAGTGAAGTGACTGGGAGCTTGAGGAAAATGGTGGTGGTAACCTTGAATTCATGATATCTGGAAGAGGAGGCAAGCCTGCACACTGGACTTCAGAAGAACAGAGGTGACTGCAGAACTGCTCTTAGTAACCTTTCAGAAACCTAGAGGACTGGCAAATTCCCAGAATACTGGAGAAGAGTGATGTCATCCCTATCTTCAAACAGGAAAAGGAGGAGAATCTGGGAAAGTAGAGACTGTCAGCTTGACATCTATGATGGGCAAGGTCTTCAAACATTTTATTAAATGGCATGGTTGTAAACACTTAAATAGGCATTCTAAAATTCACAGGAGCCAGCATGGGTTGGTCACAAGCAAATTGTGCCAGGCTAACCTTTTCTTCTTCTTTGATAGTGTTACTAGCTTAGTAGATCAGGGAAATGCCATAGACTTAGTGTACCTGGGTCCTTAGCAAAGTCTTCAGCAAAGACTTGAATAAAGTCTCTTATGATGAACTCCTCAGTAGGATGATAAAATATGGACTAAATGATACTACTGTTAGTTGCATCACAGTTGGTGGAATGATTGCACCCAAATAATGCTCATTAATCACTCCATCAGCTTGGACAGAAATACTGAGTGTGATGCCATAGGGCTCTGTTCTGGGCCCTATGCTGTTCAACATTTTTGAGTGATTTGGAAGAGGGAGTTGAGGGGACATCTATCAAGTTTGCAGATGATACAAAGTTGATATTTTAGAGGAAAGAGATCAGAAGAGCTTGAACAGTGGAGTGAATTAATAGAGTGGGAATTAACAGGGAGAAATGTAAACTTCTGCACCTAGTTAGGAAATGAAAGATATTTAATTCCCTTGCCCTTGCAGACCCAGTATGTCATCTCATTCTCAATTAGACTGTGGATGAGCATGGACTTATTGCAGATACACCTGGCATCAATAATATCAACCTGAGCCCAAATACCCTGGTAATCCAGAAATCTGGTTCTTGAGATGAGAACAAAGGTTGAAAGGAAGGATAGACTGTAACTTTCCAATCCCCATTCCCCTGTAATGCCTCACCAAACTACTCGTACCATTCTCTCTTTGCCAGTCACTTCCTCTCCTTTTTGCCCCTTAAGGTCCCACCAAAGAGAAAAAATATCTGGGTTTGTTTTTTTAAGAAGTGAAACAGTGCCTGAAAGATTTAAAGCTCTTTTTTAACTATAGAAACTGCTAAACATTTCACATTTTGTGAGGTGAGGGGCTTGGGGTTTCGAAGCAGCATATTTTTGGTGCTGGCCTCCACTTTAGTTAATAATCTTCCTCCATATTTAGATTGGCACAAGACAGCTTTGCTGGAAAGCATGTGGGGAATAAATGGAGTAATGCTGTCTATTTTGTTTTTGTTTTCTTTTTTGAATATTTGGGTGATTTTCTTATCTTATATCATTGAATGTTATGTTTATATTTTTTATATTAATCACTGGAAGTCTTTGGCATTAAAGCTACTTAATAAATGTCAGCCTTTGACAGAATGAATTTTAAACATGTTGTTCATTTTTATTTTATAAGAGCAGGTACTGCCCTTATTCCATAGCCACATACATACATACATACATACATACATACATACATATTTAATGAGATATTTCTGCAATCTTTTTATATCTTATACAGTGTATTGGGCCATGGATTAAGGAGCACAGTACATGTCCAACATGTCGGCGTCACATACTTTTGCGAGAAGATTATCCTGAGCTTCCTGGAAGAAACAGAACAACTTAAAATAATGCGATATACAGATTAGCAAGAATGATATTCAGATTATTTAGAATCATGATACTAAAAATTTATATATAACCTGTTCCTGTTATTTCCAGAATATTACATGTTAAATTATCCCTTTGTAGCCTGAGGAAAGCATATACGTAATGCTAGTCCTGCCATTTCCAATCAGTCAAGATGTGTAGTCAAACGTTATATATCCTATGTTGTTAATCTGTGTCCACACTTTTGGCAGAGATATGTAATTTACATACCTAAGCATTAGCTACCTTTGTTATATCATAGCAGAGCAGTTCAAAAAGTTAATACAAAATATACCTACTAAATGTTGTCCCTTTAAATAAAAAACATATTAATAAAATTATAATGTAGAATACAGATTTGTCTAGCTTTTCTAGCTACAGCTGTTGTGACTTTAACCTCATATCGTGGATTGGTTATTAGCAACCAATGATATTCAATACATTTGGAGCCAGATTCTTTTTAACTTTCACAGATGCCCCCTCTTTAGAAAGTAGTCTAGTTCACAAATTGTTTTAGGGTATAATCAATAAACCATGATTTTAAAAGTCATTATTTAATGTGATGTGTGAGTGTGCTAGAAGTGAAAACTTCGGATGTACCTTCTAATCTATCAAAAAAAAATCCTTACAAAAATAGATTAATCTGCCTTTATATTCTTGATATATATTAAGTACAAAACCAAAGCAGAATGCTTGAAATTTAAGTAGAAATATTTATGTAATAGCAGAACTTGGGTAGCGCTATGAGGGACAGACTGACTTTTTGACACTTAGGTTATGTTCGCACATGTGGAGTCCTTGGTGCTGTCTGAGCTTGGTTGTTTACTTGCAGACATTGCAGACATTATCAACTAGGTAACATCATCAGTGCTAGTGAGTGTGGGGTTTGCTCCCTGTTTTTATACAGTAGCTTGCCCTGCCAGTGTTGGTGGGGGGGTGGTTTTCTCCTTGGTAGTTCCTTGATTAGGATATTGTTTTCTGCTTGTTTGTCTGGTGTTAACCCCTGCTTATCTGGGTGTTGGCTGCTGGAGAGGATGTGTTTTGTTTCCTCCTTAGTTCTTTTATTGTCTCTTTTGAATGGTGTATAAATGTGGTTTAACTCTATGTATCTGTTGATGGCTGATTTGTTTGAATGCCAAGCTTCCAGGAATTCCCTGGTGTTTTTGAATTTAGCTTGGTCTAGGATGGAAACTATGTTGAAACTATGGTTGAGTCTGTTCATGTGTTGTGAGATTAAGGAGTTTTCATCATGTCTTCTGACTGCTGGTTGGTGTTCATGGATGCACTCTGCTAGTTTTCTGTCTGTCCTACATAGTGGCTGTTACAGTCCTAACACTGTATGTTGTAGATGACTGTAGATGACTCTTACAACATACAACACTGTATATTGTCGGTGATGCTGTAGATGTCAATACCAACACCTTATTTTGCTAGCAAACACTGCAGAACTTTAAGTATGAATGTCATATCATCCGTATCCTTTGCACTTGTTTAATTGCCTAGTTGCCATATTTCACAGCATTTGGAATTTCAGGATACTTTTCAAGGCTAACCCTACAGAATGTAACCTGAGGTGTAGCAAAAAAAATTATCCTTTTATAATAGTGTAACCCCAGATTCATTCTCTGTATTCACTGTCTATGAGCTGGCTTTACATTGCCATAATGGAAAGGTTGACCAATATTACTCTGTGTGGCTAGGTTTAATGCTATGCTTAAATGCTAAACAGGTGTTTCTTAAGTTCTGTTTATATTTGCATTTTATTTGTGCTTGCTTTTTTTCTTTTTGATATTTTTTTCTTTCCTTTTTTTTCCTTTATATTAAAAAAATGAAACTGAATATAACCAAGGTATGGATAACTATGATCATATCTAATTCTAGTATAAGCAGTGTACTGGCTGAATTGTGCAGATGTGCTCTTTGCTACAGCCACCACATAGGAATTCATAGCAAATCTCCAGATTCTGGGTGGCCCAATACCCATGGCCAGTTGGTTTTGATAGGGTTAAGTCAAAGCCCATTCCCCATTCAAATCCCCATAGCCTCCAGACACTGGGAAAGCATTAAGAGAGGGACAGAGTTGTACAGGTGAATAACATCAGCATACTGATGGTATCAATAGATGACCTCACCCATCAGCTTCATGTTGATGTTAAAAATAGAGAGAGACCCCTGAAACACCTTGTAAGACAAGAACCTATCTCCATCCACCAATACCACTAGAAAATGATCATGGAGAAAGGATGCGAACCACCATAACACTGTATCTCCCATTCTCAGTTCCTTGAGCCAGCTGATATTATGGTTGATGGTATCAAAGGCTATTGAGAGATCAAGGAGGGCCAGGAGGGATATACTGCTCTCATTCCAAGCCTACCACAAGTCATCAAAAAATGTGACCAATGCCATCTCTGGGCTAGACCTCAGTCTAAAACCAGACTGAAAGAGGTCCAGATAATCTGTTTTCTCCAGGACCCTCTGAAGCTCCAATCCAACGATCCTCTCAACAGCCTTCCCTAAAAGAGACAGGATTGGAGATGGAATGAAAATTGTCCAGCTTTGTTGAATCCAATGGTGGTTTCTTGAGGAGGGGCTGGACCACCACATCCTTCACAGCTAACAGAATCATCTTCCTTCTGAAGTATACATTTACCCCCACATGGATCCAATCTCATATCATATCCCAGGAGGCCTTGACCCCAAGGGGTATGGATCTAAAACACAGGTGGCCACATTTTCTGCCTTAAAGATCCTGCCTACTTCTTCAGGTCTAACACACTTAAATTCTTAAATTAAAATGTCCTGGTGGGCATCTGAGAAGAACAAAACATGCTCTCAGCTATTTTATGCAAATCAATGACTCAGAGCTAATTGCATTTATTGGGTGAACAAGATTTAAAATGTATGAATGATTTATTCACACCATTAATAATCAGATATATGAGGAGTTAAGTAAAGGGAAAGTTTACTTTCTACAGTATTGCCAAGCTGATGCAACATCAAAAATGAATTGTATTCAACATATATAGTCCAACACCTTCCAAAGATAGCAAAGTGCAATAATTCTATCTTCTGTACCCATCACTCTTCCCTCTGTGTTGCCCCAAACTATTTTCATGTCATTGTACCACCAATTTGGTGAGAAGATGCCAGAACCGAACCATCTCAGCTCCTTATGACTAATCCTCCAACTGGTTATTAAGGTCAGACACACACGTTTTTACTAACTAAGCTATTCCCCAAAGGAAACTGATACAAAAAAGTGTTTCTTTAGATGCTAGCAGAGGAAACAGGAATGTCTAAATTCCACTTGTTTTGAAAAGTTTAGTTGCTTTTTTAGTATGTTAGTCAAATGTTTTGATAAGTGCACTTCCCATCATCTCATTCATATCTCATTCATTTGCTTAGCATGGTAGGCTAAGACATATATGCAAAATAATTTTGTTCAAAACACCAAATTGCTATATGCAACTCTTCCTCTCAATGCCTGAATTTTTTACTCACAGAATTTTTATAAACGAATAAAAAAAGAAGTGTAGGCCATGTAGTTCCCATTTCAACTTAGATTAATGCTTGCAGCGCAGTGACATTACAGATGAATATGACTTAGTTCTTATTGAACACTGATTGTGTCATAACATTAAGAATGTTGTAAGTTAACATTCTGGTCCATCATTCAAAATACTGAATTGTCACACTAATAGGGTTATGTTGCTTAGTTCCTGCAGTGCCAGTTTGTTGGATGCCCAACAAATGGGATGCATCTGGTTTGAGTGGTAGTTGTAAAGCAATCATAATCACATTCTGCAGAGTTTCAGTGGAAAGTTCTCTGTGATGAGGTGATCATCATGCAAGAGGACAACAATGTTAACTTCAAATTCTGTGAGAAAAAGAAAAAAATCCTGGAATTAGCACAGATTATTGTATCTACCATCTGGGGTACCCCTAGTGCATATAAATCATGTTACTAGCATAGCAAAGCACAAGAGAGTATGTACTTAAAATAACCAATATTATTCTAAAATATTATTCTAAAATATACCTAGCAATCCAAGCTCTTACCTTCAGAGATGCGTGCTGTGTCTGTTCCTGCACTGGATCTAAACCAGATGCTTAAGCTAAACTCAAGTTGGGAGAGGGGATAAAGCATTCTAATATAGAACTTTGTATTGATTATGGCTTAACCACTGGAGCTTGAAATTGTTGCTTTTCTGTAGCAGAATCCGTTCTTTGGAATTACAGAAATCAAAGTTCCCTTCATCTTAATTTTATTTTGGAAGTTGCTTCAAAAGTGAACTCTTTAGTAGAACATTTCTGACTGAGCAGAAGTCATCTATGTTTGTATGTCGCTGTTGATATGACCTTTTTGTTATGTACTGATTTGTTGTAATTTAATGTATTAGTTTTATATTGTTTTAACCACAGACGTTTTATTGTTTTGCTTGCTGTGCATGTTTTATGTTATATATATGATATTGTTAACTGCTAGGATATGAACTGGATTCAGTGGTATACAAGATGTATCAATCATCAATCAATCAATCACAGGCCTTTATACAAATCTGTGGAGGAGCCACACTTGAAATACTTTTATACTGTAGTTGTAATCACTGCACTTCAAAAGAGATACTGTCAAGAAAAGAAAGATGATACAATATAACAAATTGGCTAGAGCAGCACTCCTATAAAGAAAGATAACAAAATCGCCAGCTCCTTTTTATCTCAGATAAAAGTCAAGTAAAGGAAGATATGGTGGAGGTATGTACAGCTGATGTCCTACCTATGGGTTTTTGTTACAGGAAACTGGATGACCACAGCAGAAAATAAAGCATCAGACAAAGGGCTCTTTGTATGGTCTGATAATTCAAAATGCCGTTCTTACCGACTTTGAAGTTTGTAGTTTCCAGTGTAGGACATGTAAACAGCCTTGGAAAGACCATATAGATTGGAATAGGAAGATTTCTGCAGACATCACCATCAGCAATCTGAATGTTCTGAATCTCAGTGGCATCTCTAGCATAACCTTCAGCACAGCCTTTGCAAAAATGAGATACAAGTAGCATTCAAAACTCCCAACTTACTAAATAATATATTCTAATGTAGACAGATTTAATAATTAAAACTTTTATCATCAAGATCTCTATGAGTCAGTCATATATGTTGGGTGTCTTTGAGGAGCTGTCTCCAAATCACTCCAGAGCTGCTGAAGGAACTTCAAATAACATCTATATTAAAAATTAATAGTTAATTTAGGATTACATAGATCTGGAACATTCATTTCAAACTTCTGGAGTGGGCTTCACTTTAGAAGTAATCAAAATTACATCAAAGCTTTAATTATTTTTATATGAGGTTGCTAACTGCCAAATAAATTTCAGTCATGTCTGTTGCTAATACATACATTATCACAATTGGGAACATTTGGATGTGGGTGAGGGCCCAAGTGTCTTCTAATCTGTCCAACAATTAGAGTGACAGAAGCATTTGACAGTCACAGCTCAAGGACATACCCCAGATTCTGTTCTCCCACACCAATTTATGCACTGGCAGGCATAAAGACATACCACAAGTTTCCACTCGTACCAGCTGGAGTTCAATGCTTTTAACAGCAGCATCTGAGTTCACCACTATCAGCTCCCCTGTTAGAGGCTGTGTTATGACACAGTTTGTTGAGCTGAGATGGCCTCTTATGAGAAATTTTGGAAGCAATGCTCTCTAAAATAAAAAGAAGAAAAAGCAAAAAAAAAAGATGTAATGGTAATTGAATGTACAGATTTTCTTGTTCTTTCCACATACTATTTTCATTTCATAGCATGGCTATTTGTCCCTTATTGCTCATTAGTTCAGAAGGAAAAAGAGAAGAAATTCCTGTTTGCTCTTTCATCATTCTCCTTATCCCATTCAATATCTTTTCTTCAAAATAAAAGTGAAATACTTAAGTATCACGTGCTTTTCTAAGCACACGTTCAATGTAACTCCTCAGACTTTAAACGATAGGCAAGGACTGTTTCTAATTTAAGTATAATATATAGAAAACTAGGCACTTCATACAGAATGGATTGGATCCATACTTAGTCATCTTCATAGCACACCTACTGAAATCAGCAAAACTTAAATTAATGATCATAAAGTGGGAAATACTTGAGAATAATCTCTACATCACCTATGTAAGCTTTATATAAAGAAAGGGGAATATTCCTCACTGCAAATGATGAGAATCTGAATCACCCATTCCAGGGAAGAACCTCCCAATGTCCTCTCCAGGAGTCTCAAGGACATATAAAGGACATGATCAAAGCAATGCCTCCCAAAGCCAAGATCCACTTCAACCTGCCAGGAACCCTTTGAAAAGCAGCTCCTTTGGATTGATTCTCCCAAATAGTGACGGTTTTTATTAACTGCTGGTTCTCTCAAACCCCATTTTGTTTAACCGACTTTTTTCCACAATAAGAAAGACCCATTGGAGAAAAAAAATCACTCTACCCCCACTCCAAAAAAATCACTCAAAAAAGTAAACAGGAGGAATCAATTTCTCTAGCTAGATCCTTTAATAAACCCATGCCTGCATTTTCTTCCTCCACTCCATATACTCCTATCCTTCCTCCGGCTTTCTATTTCTATACAATCCTGGTTTGTACAAATCATGGTTTTCCCAGCTCAGATACAATGACAGGTTACATTTTGTCACTAAATCAAAAGTAAAAGGAAACTGGAGCACACAAATGAGGAATCACATGAGCACAACATTCTTTCATATGGTTTCAACCTCTGATTTGGCCCTGCTCCCCTGCTATGAGTGCTATTATACTTTTTTAAACCAAGATTGTTCTGTGGAGTCCTTGGGGTTCTCTGAGCTTGGCTGTTTTCTTGCAAATGTTTCGTTACCTGG